CTCGGGGGGGGCCGGGGCGCGCCACCGCCTCCGCCGCCGTCCTCGGTTTTTACTCCGTGGTGTTCATCAAATAGTTAGCTGAATTTTTTTCGATACATCAATGGATGCTATTTTCTTAACATTACGGTGCGAGCATGCGACTGTAACACAGAAAACGCGGTTTAAACTGTCGTCGGAGATCGCGGCCGCCGCCATGTTTCAATGTTGTTTACAGACGACAGGGCAAACGACGCACGCGCTCAACGTGAATATCGCGAGAGTTTGCACCAATGTAAACCCTAGTCTACACAAAAATGTAGAGGCTTGTTTGAAAAAAATGCCGACCGTAAAGTTTTTTTTTGACATAGAAATTCTCGGTCGGTCGGGTTACCGGAAAAACATAAAATTTTTTTTCTACGCCTAATGTCCAAAATTAAGTTATTTAATTTTTGTATTTTTATGAACATTGCTCCATTTAAGACATATCCAAATCATCAAATGTTGCTTAAGAAACAACACAAACAAACAAAACCCCTGTTCTTCATTTACTTGGTCAAAGTTGGGCAACTCTGGTCCGAGAGGGCCCTTGTCTGGCATGTTTTCGATGTTTCCCTCCTCCAGCACACCTGATTGTAATGATCAGATCATCTTCCAGCTCTGCAGAAGCCTGATACCAATCCTGATCATTCAAACCAGGAGTGTTGGAGGAGGGAAACATCGAAAACATGCAGGATAGTGACCCTCGAGGACTGGATTTTCCCACATATGGTCAATTTATGCACTGGAAGTTCCACACTGCGTATGTGGAACTGGGAGTCGCCGCTTGGAATTGGAGCGGATTTACGTGGTACAGAAGATGTGAGCCAATCTCTTTTTTTCGTCAATGGACGCTACAGCTTCTTGTTTGTTTTCAAACTTAGCTTGTAGCAGACGTGTGCACATTTTCAGCATGATGTCACTGGTGAAAGGACACTTTGACTCTCTCCTGTTTCATCTCGAACTGCTTCAAACAAGAAAGCGTATGAAGGAAATGTGGTTAAGATTGCACAACTGTCTGTGTCTTATGTGTTGTTTTGTATTACAGTCAAACCTCGGTTTTCATCCATAATCCGTTGCAGAAGGCTGTTCGAAAACCGAAATTGTTTGAAAACCGAAACCATGCTCTTTTTAAAATGAAAATGTTTATTGAACACATCTGCTTACAATGGTAACCAACACGAGGAAGTGTCACTTCCTCGTCTACCCAAGGAAGCATCACTTCCTCGTGTAAGAAGGCGAGAGGAGTCAAATCGTGCATTCAAATGCGCTCAGTTTGTTCGAGAACTGAAATTTTTCGTCATCCGAGGCATAAAAAACTCGCAATTTTTGATCGAAAACCGAATTGGCCGAGAACCGAGACGTTCGAAAACCGAGGTTTGACTGTATTTTGTTATGTTAACTGTTCTGTAAAGCGCTTTGTTGCAACTGAAGCTGTTGTGAAAGTGCTATAAAAATATGTATTAAATAAATAAATGAAAGTAGAAGCTGCCCCCCCCCCGCCGCTGCCATACCGCAAAACTGAATATGCTTTAATACTTTAAATTTGTTCAAATTTTAAATGCAATTTGTAACTTTTTTTTTTTTTACTGTATATATGTTTACTGCTTTTTTTACTTGGAATTTTTCATTGTCAGGATTTATGTTAATGGGAAATCCCATGAAAAACGATCACTACAAACTGCAGATTTTTATCACTATAATATAAATAGATATAATTACATAAAATGTATAAATAACAGAATTGAACAGTTTGTGCATTATGATTTAAATCATTGTGGCTCCTTCTGGTGTGCGCAACTTGGCCACCAGGTGGCAATATGATGCTGTCATACAAACAAAGGCTTTAAACTACAGTGGTACCTCTACTTATTAATTGATTTTGGAAGAAATTTCTTAACTAGAAAATTTTGTGAATAGAGACACGTTTTCCATGTGGCCCTAATCTGTTCCAAGCGCCCCCCAAAATTCAGACAGAAATGTTTTACCAAGCATAAAAATGCATCAAAATATGTAACAAATACATGTTACAATTAGATTATTTCACAATAAATGAGAGATGTGCATAATGTAAATAAACAAAGAATGGAGTAAAGAATAAAAATGATGGTTAAATAACTTTTAACTGCATCCTCATCGTTTTTTGCCCTCTTTTTTCATGTTCTTTCTCAAGTGGTTTTTGCCTGGTGTTTTGTCAAGAACTAATCAAAGGATGTTTGCTTTTGCCGGCTTTTAACAATCCTTTGAAAATGTTTCCAATTCCTCTGCAGGTTTTGGTGGTTCAAAGAAATCGCTCAGTACCGGCAAAATGGCGTCTTTGTTGATGGTGGCATCCATGCCGCTGCTTCCAGCTGTCATGCTGGCATTGGGTCGTCGTCGCGCCCGAGTGGCTCGGTTGTGTCGCAGCGCGCTGGCTTGGACACTGCGGCTGCTGCGGGGACGCGTATGTGCCAAAAGCACGCACGCCTTTGTCTTCTCCCGGTGCACCCACGGCAATGCCGGCAGCGTCTTGGAGACCTTTGACATCTACGCAGAGACACATGGCTCCGCTGCGGTCGGCCCGCAGATTGGTCAGTGTTCACCTGTTCAATTGTAAACAGTGTCACCCCTCATATTCGTGATTTTCGCAGACTCAGCTATATACAGTTTTCTTTTTTTCTGTTTAGAAACCTATTTTCTGTTATTGACTGAAAAACTCCCCATATATATATATATAAATATATATATATAAAAGGTGAATTTTTCGGTATAAGGACCAATACAGATGGAACCTTACTTTTTTTTTTTTTCTCATTTGTCAACGTCGTCTCCCAGCACTGTCACACACTTTTCCCATCCGTGCACAAGCTTCCATATTCCCTCCATGTAAAAATCTTTGGACTGATGTCTGAGTCAGTCGCTCACAACACTTTTGACTTCGTCACTTTCAAACTTTGTGCCTCCTACTGTGAACTGCTGAGGCAGGACACGAAAGACATCAAGACCAAACGCAGGGGTCAACAGTCAGAAGGTGTCATCTTGCATCATGACAATGCAAGGCCTCACACATTAGCCCAAACGGTGCAGGCTATCAACGAGCGGGACGGGGAACTGCTCCCTTACAGCCCAGACCTTGTCCCTTCAGATTTTCACCTGTTTGGTCCCTTACAAGCATCATGAGAGGCACAAAGTTGAAAGTGACGAACAAGTCTATAAAGTGTTGTGAGTCAAACCTATCTTCAGGCTCTTTCCCTTAAAGTTCACTTAATCGCTGTTTTTGTACTCGCTGTGTAAAGCCCCAAAAGGCCTAAGATGCTTTCCCAAACACTGACTGATAAAGTAGTAATTGCTGTGGAGAAAGTATACATTGCAGTGATACATCTCAACAAAGACAATAAAATCTACATAATCTTCTTCCAACATCCACAGATCCTTTGTGGAACCAACATTTTGTCCTACCCCTATTTTAATTGAGGTCAATGTTTGCTTTTTTTTTTTTTTTTTATTGACAATAAGCTTATCATTGATCTAGTAGAGAATCTTTAATAGTTCAGAATGGTGTATGCGGTAAGACTAAAGTCAAATTACTGGAAATAATGAAACCAACCGAATTGATTCACCTGTGTCCCGTGTACTCAGGCCAGGCCTTGGACGAGGTGGTCCGGCGAGTCCGTCCCTTGAGGGTGCTGGAACTGGGCATGCACTGCGGCTATAGCTCAGTACTGCTCTTGCGTCTGCTACCCCCTGATGGAAGGCTGCTCACGGTGGAGCAGGACCCCGCTGTGGCCGGCCTCGGGGAGGAGATTATCCTGGTGGCCGGCTTCAAACACACTCAGGTAGGGAAGTCATTATAAACTGTGCGGATCAAAATGAGACTACTTTAGGATTGCCGTAATAAAAAAGTTGCACAGGATGAAAAAAAGACTGCTGAAAATCCAGCCATCGTTGCACAGTTAAATGACTGTGATGACTCTCCGAAAGAATGCAGGTGACAAAACAAGTCTCTCGAGGTGTGCGGGTAAAACAAGACTTCGGCAAATCTCTTATTTGCTTTGGTTAAAACAATATTACCGTAACTCCTGGAGAAGTTGCACTGATGAAAAAGAATCCACTGTAAATCCCTGAAGAGTTGCACCAGTTGAAATAAATCGAGCAGAATTCATTTTGTATAGGACTACAATAAATCATCCAAAAGTTGTACAGGCCAAAATAACACTTGATAATATCTCCCCAAAAGTTGTGCCTATTAAAATAAGACTACCATTATTCGCCCAACATTTGTACACGTTCACACTACCTTATTATATCCATTAAGGATTGCAGGTTAAATTACAAGTGTTTGTAAAAATACAGTAATCCAATAATATCTCCGGGTCCAGATACAGACTAGTGTCTGATGAATGTGGAGTTCTGCATCAAGCAAATAAAAACTCACTGTGCACTAAAAAAAATGCCAATTATGTAGTTCCAGGTGTTGACAGGCAGCTCAGGCGAGACCATCCCGACACTTGGCACATTTCTGGAACCGGCTCCAGGGACCAGCGGCACCTTCAACCTGGTCCTCATGGACCACGACCCCCAGCAGTACCTTGTGGACCTGCTGGCTCTGGAGAACCAGGGACTGCTGTGCCCCTCCGGCTGCTCTGTAGTTTTGATCATCAGGAACCGGAGAGACAAATGTCTGGAGGAACTCAAGGAACTGATCCGAGCAAGACCAGATTGTTACAGCATTAAGTCGCAGGTTGGCGGGATGGTGGAGCTCTTCTTCCAGAAAAGCAGCTCCCAATGACAATGATTCCCATTGGAACTGTTAAGATATCAAGCTCTGATCCCAGAGTAGTTTGCTTCAAACTTCTTACATGACCATAAAAATAAATTGTTTACAGAAAATAAAATTGCAGCAGTTATGTTGTGAAGTTTGTCGGTGTTCATCCAACAAAACTGCCTCAGCAAGTGGAAGATCCGACTACACACACGCGCGACTCTTCTTACATTCACCTAACTACAACTAAACGTGACAAAACCAATGGAATCCATCTCTGCAGCATAGTTTACTCTGTACAACTGCCACAATGATCGTGTAAACCAGAGGTCTCCGATGCTGTCCTACTTTCCTCATCCGTCCCTGCTGTAACACACGCACTTTAAATGATCAAGCTCTGCAGAAGCTGGATAAATGTTCATTAGAACCAGGCGAGTTGCAACAGGGAGAGATGGAAAGCAGGCAGCACTGCAGCCCTCAACAATTGAAGACCAAGCTGTTTTAAAGGACCACTGTGCCCAATTTATCCTTCAAAATTAGTCTCGGGACAGTGAGATTGCTCATGGAAATTGTTAGGGGCAAGCGCGGTCCCTCTACCACATAGAGAGCCACCATCCTGCATATTTTCCATCTCTTGATTGAAATAAATTAACTCTTCAGAAGCCTAATAGAACCTATTCATTTGAGGTTGCAACAGGAAGAGATGGACACAATGTAGATAGCGGCCCTCCAGGATCTGAGTTTGACACCTCGTCTACACTATCAATAGTGGAGGCCCACTTCACATCCTTAACACCAATTACAGTCATAATTTAAGCGATGCTTAATTCTTGCCGCGTCTTAGATATTACAGAAACAAACGCAATAGCCAAATTTGAACAACGGGATAGTTCCAGAAGATGTGAATCGCCAACATGCAGGGATGTTATCACACTAGTATTTAGTAGCAGCATGTTTTTCTTAATATGCTCAACTCAACTCCCATGATTGTATCATAAAAGGCCACAAGCTTCCCTTGACAATTTTATTTCCATTGGTTAGCAAAGACAAGACTAAAAATAACATCTAATAAGTTGTTGACACAATGATATCCCCATACACGCAGTCTTCCTCCACAGCCAGGTTGTAGAGAGGTCCGCTTCCTCCTTTGTAGGCACTGGTCACAATCTTAAGCCAGCCTCTCATCCTGTATGAAGATTTGAGTTACTCAGACGTCGGCAGCCGTCAGCGGGACACTCGTGACGACTCACTAAAGGTTCACCCCAGGAATTGCGCACAATCCAATATTCCGTGCCATTTTCCACCCCCCAGCCAGCCACAGACACAATGTGGTTGATCTCAGGATACTTTATGTATTCCATGTACAACCCGCCGGTGTAGAGGTCCAGTTTCTCTGTAGCCATGATGGCACAGCTGTATGATGGGTAGAGGAAATGGTTACTCCATTGCATTACGGGAACACTTATTTTTGTATTTCATGAAATATTTGAAGGTCCCTGGAAAAAAGGCTGGTTCAAACCAAAAAGGCAGACTTCCTGTTTTCAGGCATGTCTACCAAAGAGAATGGTGCCCAGTGAAACCGACTTCGGGGACTCAATTTTCTGAGCTTGTGTTACAGAGAGCAGTTCAACACTTGTTTCGTGTATGCTTTTAAAGTTTGTTCGTAATTGGGCAAACCTTAAGTAAAATTTTGAAACACCCTTGATTTGGACAAAATGTCCACTCCAAACCTAATTGTAGACTAGATCGCTTTTTAGCATTTTTTTTTACAAGTGTACTCATGACAAAAGTAACAATAGCAACAAGAATGTTTTGAGAGTTCTCCAATGCCACTCTCACTCAACACAGCCGCTGAAGCTTTTCAAACGAAAATTTACAATACCTGATTGGGCCTCTTGTGTAGATTTCCGCCATCATGTTTTCCCGTCCTCTTGATGGCTCCATAGTCACCGACTCTCCACAGAGTATAGTTCTGCACATTGTCGAAGTGCCCAAAGGTTACGCATGTCCCACATGCATTGAAAGGATGACATTCTATAGCCAGGAAACAACTGGGGTCATTATATAAATTTGACCCCCCCCCCCCCAAAAAAAAAGTTAATCCGAGCAAAGAAACCCTTTGTGGCCCACCATTCACATTCTACACATTAGCTGTGATGCTCACTCTGATCAATGGCCTGATAGTTGTTGCAGGTCTCATCTGGGATGCCATTTTTGTGAGCATATTCCCACACGCCACCGTGGTCGCCCCCGTGACAAGTCCCCGAGTCGGCACAGTCAAGCACATGCTGGACCGAAAAATAGGCTGAAGGCCACGCTGCTCTATGCTTGATGTTGATGCAATCTGTGAAGAAAATATTGCACTTAAGCTACTTGTGGAGACTACTTGTACTTAGTACTAGTGCTAAAAACCTTACGCTAACTGGAGCGCTAATGAGAGAGAAGCGTTCCAGTTAGCGTAAGGTTTTTAGCCTTCGAGAGCTAACTATGGCCATTGAGGACTACGAAGCGTCCCGTGGCTGGCTTAAAAGATCATTGCATGCCAGGAAGTATTTGTTATTGTTAGATTCAGACGAGGATGGACGTTGCATTGCTAAAATGGCTACAAAACGGACCATTGGATGTCAAACAGCTAAGACAAGAAGAGCTCTGATGCTGGAAGAGAAGGTAAAAGTGATCAAAATGAAAGACGGAGCAAGCAAAATAAAAGACATTCTCCAAGAAATTGATGTAAGTGAAAGTGAATGCTGATCGTAAATTTCGCAATTTCTTTCCCTTTTTTTCTTTCTACACTGACAATATGAAGTGTGTGCTCATACTTATGCACTATTGGAATAAAAATAGAGTACACATACGTTTGTGTGTGTGTGTGTGTGTGTTTACATCTGAGATCAAATTTGCTACAGTGAAAAACCCCCTGTTGTGAAAAATTTCTTGCTGCAAACATGATTTCGTTGTAGAGGAGTTTCACTGTATAGCAAGGCCTTATTTTAAAACTGAAATTGAAGAAAATGTTTAGAATGCTGTTATCACAGCAAAAACTCCTTTGTTTTTCAGGTTTGACAATCTGGGCTAATTTTAAGTGCATGTCTGTACATTTTAAGAATTGTAGATTTTTGTCACACAATACATACAATTAATAAAATGAAGCCAAACAAAAGCATTAATGAAGTCATGAAAAATCCTAAAGATTTAGTACTGCTGACAATGCCCATTCTCCCCGACCCCCAAAATCACCTGCCATGGCACTGGTGCTTCCGTGGGCCCAGCAGGAGCCACAGTACTGGGGGATGTGCTGGTTCCGAGTAGCACTGACGTAGTTGACGCCATTCACATTCCTCCAGTCCCACGTCTTCGGCAGCTGGACCAGGTTGAGGATCTCATGGGGCCGCGGTGCACTTCTGTAAGAGAGATACTGGGGGTGTAAGTGTTACCAACAGGTATCCTCTGACTGTGTATGACATCATGTAGCTTTTGGGGGCAGCAATAGCCCCCATTTATTGAGAAGCACAACCAGAGGTGCTTGAGGAAACACTGTAGTCCAGTGTACTTTTATTGCAAAGCACACAAAATTAGTCCCCCAGCCCCCCAAAAAAAGTGAAGGTCCAGAGCAAACTGCCCTGGACTAGTCAGATAGATACCTGACCAAAGGGGCCTATAAAAAAAAAAAAAAAAAAAATTGGGGGGGGGGGGGCGCAAAATATCCTGATAAAGGGCTGGTAACCAGTTCAAAGTGTCCCCCACCTACTGCAAAGGGAGTTGGGACAGGCTCCAGCTGTCCCACGTCCCTTGTGAGAATAAGCACATCAGAAAATGGATGGATCCTGATCAAGGCCCTTCCAAACTGGTTGTTTCATGTCATGTTCTAACATTTGAATATTGAAGCACCAGCACAAAGTGCCTGAGCAACTTTGTATTGTTGCCTGCTCAAATACAGACACAGTCATAGGCCGACCAAACATTTGCACACCCATAGCTCAAGAACAGGGGTGTCAAACTCATTTCCCATTGTGGGCCACATACGGCCTCGGTAGATGTCAAGGACTACTCCGAGTCCTGTCCAATTCAAAGAGAACCTAGTCTGTCCCAAGACCTCCTAAAAGCAAGTTATTTTTAAGCATCATGTCCCCTCATATACTGTAAACCCCACTAAAATCATCCCTAACCAACCAGCAAAGAGCACAACAAAAAGAAACTCACTTGATTTCAGTGAGACAGGCCGGTAACAGTGTGTCTTCTGCCCGAACCATGCGTTTGAGACGAGAGCATGACGTAGACAGCGAGCGAAGCAATCCTCAAATAAAAACACGAAGATGAGAGTCCACCGTTTGATATTTTTATGGAAGTCTTTCTTGTAAAACTGCACACAAATAGAAACACAATCCAAATGTTTGTATAGCATCCAATTGTACATATGAAATATTATTCGACACTCTTGTAATAGCCCTATTCTCTAACTTATTCAACAAATCTATGGTAAATATCTACAAAGATTAATTGATGAAATACCTATATATGACGATTAATAACTTGTACAGCAAAGAGTGGTATATACAACTGTGTAAATCAGGGGTGCCCAAACTTTTTGGACCGAAGATCTACTTTTCGATCAACTAACCTCCCGGGATCTACCCTTACCGGGACACGCACGCGCGCGCGCACGCGCGCGCGCACGCACGCGCGCACGGGCGCACGCACATACACACGCACGCCATGATGAGCAACAGCCTGACATGGAGGCATGCGACGCACTTTTGCAGCCTGTTAACTATCGTAGCTCACACGTACCGTTTTAAAGTGCTTCCCTGGGCCCTCCTAGATTCCTATTCTTTGCCCGTGCCCTCGGTGAATTGTACACGAAGCAAACACTGAATGAGAATGACGATAAAAGATAGAGCGCAACAGCTCTGTTCACAAGCTGCAATTACAGACAGCTGAGAGCGCTAACAACTTCCGGTGACGTAATCACGCGCCACCGTAAATTCAAGATTTACCTGCTTGATTTCATTTTTTAATATTTTTTTTTGTGAAAATGAGACTGATAGGATGATTAGGGTGCAGCGTACATTAACACAAAAAATATATTACTAACATGTACAAAGACACACAAATGGTTGTTTTTTTTCTCCTCGACACTCCTTGGATCTACTTGGGACCTGTCCTAGATCTACCGGTAGATCAGGATCGACGTAATGGACACCCCTGGTAAATGCACTTGCAGATTGTGTCTGAATGTGTCAAAAGGAGGAGGATGGAAGTGGATGTTATCACACCTCTCCACTGTTTCAGTCTAATGCG